ATATATATTTTTATATATAAATATATATACAAACTCTGCAGGCAAGTAGTACTTCACTTGTTATAATTGAAGTCCTTTAAAAAAGTTCAGTCACTCAGTTAACATAGTATAGCCAGTAAATTAAGTTGAAAAGAGAAAAAGTGAATGGGAACACCATTCTTGACCATCTGTCGATGGCATTCACATCTGTTAGATCAGGGATTTTTATTTTCAGTTGCGAAGACCTTCTTCGTAAATGGCTTCTCCTGCTGTGGGAGCCTGTTCTTTCTGACGAACGCCTTCCAAGGCTTTCACGATGTGAGCTTTGTTTTCTGTACTGGATTCCTGAGTTGTCAAAGGATATCGTTGAATTTCGGGCATCCGTAACGCTGGTGGTGACCTCGTTGCTTGCCACCTCATTGTGAATTTCAAGCGATGTTAGCAGAATGTTTCCATGGGTGTCCACCTAGGGGGGAAAAATAGAAATATAAATTGTTTCAAATGACTTGACATCTATCAGCAGAATGTGGGTGTATTTAAATCTATAAACCCATACATATTTTAAGAAAGCATGTCTTCATTTTAAGTGTGTGATAATCTTAGGAAAAACGGCAATACTCAGTTGCTTAAAATTAGGCAAGTATTTAAATACTTTTACAAACAGGGCTATCATCATACTACCAACATTCAGTACAAAACCGTATTTGGCAAAAGCAGTAATTTTCCTCTCCTTCTAAACCAGCTGCATTTTAAAGGATGGTGTAGTTCACTGAAATCTCTACATTGCTGGCGTTCCTACAGTAGGAAATTAAATTAAACTGGACTTTTTTCTATCTGGGACTTAAAACCAGGTGAAAAAAGTGCCTGTGAAGTTTGCTAAAATCACAACAACAATTCTGATCCGCTGAACTCCACATTTTGCAATCACAGAGCTTGTTTACAACTTTTCTTTTAAACTTTTGTTTCCAAAGTAATTTGCACAGTTTTCCAATCATGGCAATGCTTAACTGCTGGGCTTTTCCACCTGGGTAAGTGATCTTATAGACCGATGAACTTAGACATGGAAGAAAGCCGCTGAACTGAGGAAACAGGTGGCACTCTTCCCTCCCACCTCCACAGCCAAGAGCCAGTGAGCACAGTGTTGAGCACAAGTGAGCAATGCGATGCCATTTTCAGTAATTAAGAGGAAGGTTCTGATCACTTAGAGTCTTTAATAAATTTTGGGCCAGACTCTCCAGTCCCCCTGAGTCGCGATAGAGGAGGAGCAGCACAGTTGCGTACGGCTCCTTCAATCCAGATAAACTTCCAGTTCCCATGAATGGCACTGACAAAAAGTCCCAAATGATGCTTAGTCAGCATTTGGTAGCTCCAGTGGTGGGGCACCACATCCCCTTGTGCCCCATGACCTGCACGCTGGAGGATGGGCAGAGAACACGGCCAATGCAGGGATCAGCTCCAGCTTTCCTGCCAGTTTTTGGGAAAGGAAAATGAGGGCTGAAGGTAAAATAAATGCTCTGTGCTGGGTATTTTCAGCCAGTTAATGCATATGTGAGTCTGTTCAAGTTAACTCAGTTCCTTGTGTCAGAAATAGATAGTGAATCATGGCATACAGGATAATTTCCAGTTTTACATATACAATTTATTCATCCACAATTCATCCTGCAGTTAATATATTTTTCTAGCCTGCCACATGATGTAGCTGTGCTAACTGTGCAGCGGCTGGACATCTCATCCTAGAAGCATCTGTTTAAAAGTGGTTGAGAAAACACAGTATTGTCATGGCCTTTTGATGTTTGTACAGTCATCTGATACCACGTCCTTTGCAAGATTTGTGTGATGCATTAAAAGTATGTGTAGCTATGTGTCTGTCCATATGCATTTAGCTTTTTTCAGTCTTGCTAAAATTCTGTAAAATGGATATTTCTTTCATCAATTATTGATGCCACAGCTTATCTTTTCTCAGTGAAAACAATTATGATAGTCTATCAGTAATGCTTTGCCAAGCTTCTTGCAAATGGAAAAAGAGTATAAAATGCCCTGAATGACATACAGGCGAGTAGAAAAAAAAAAAAAAGCTAAGGTATCCAACAAATCCTGCTGTTGTAGGTAATAGCACATTATGCTGATGAGTGCCTATAAATAAAAATAAACAACGTGAACCAGGTGGAGAAGCCACAGTGGTGATTAAGAAGAATTTATTTTCCCCATGGCAGAAACCCATTGGGTACAAAAGTATGAGCTTGAGGTTTGTAGAAATCAGTTCATGCTGTTCAGCTGTATCTGTAACCAGGGAATACATACAGCTGTAAAATACAGCCACGGATATCATCACTACTTATGGTGGTCTCTGAAACAAAGTGATTCAGTTTTCTCTGTTTTGTTTTTTTTTGTTTGGTTTTTTTTTGTTTGTTTGTTTGTTTTTTTTTAAAGAGTACAAATTATGATCAGGATTTGTAACAGCATTGTGTAAAATATCTCCACAATCTGCATTCTCCCTATGAAGCTTAAAACTAAATCTCTCATCCAGGCCCCCATGGCATCACATGTCATCTCCCTTCCCATCTCCTTCCAGGCTTTGAGAAATGTCCTTCAGCTTACTAAAAATGCCCCAGCAGAAACCATTTTGCTGGGCTCCACCCTGACAGCACTGCCTTCCCCTTGCAGGTCTCTACTCCCTTTCCTTCCACCACCACAGATGTCAGCTGCTCTTTCCATCAGGGCTTCCTGATCTCTCCTGATTCTGTCTGCCACCTACATATATACAGACGTTAGCCTATCCATGGATACTTTGTCCTTCTACACCAAGCCCAGATTTTTGTAAGTGAGGTGTTGGCTGAAATCTTGTACTCTGGAGAGTACGCCTAGGTATTCAGGCTCCCCCTGCCCAAGGAATTAATTTTATTCCATTTATTTCATTGCCCTGTATAGCCTTCTTCACCTTATCTGCCAACCTTACTTGCCACCCTAACATGGCTTCTGCCTCTGCTCTGCCAGTGATGCTGCCACTTTTCACTGCTCGCCACTGCATCTATAAAACAAACTAGAAAGGTGGTCAAGAAAGGTGCCACGTTTGTGTAAATGCTTTGTCTGAAGATACCATTACGTCCTATGAAGTTTCATGACAGTATATATATATTGTCTCAAAATGTCAAATGAAACATATTTAGAAACATACTTTTGAAATGCATCTCTTTGTTGATAGAGCAACAGACTTGCGTGTCAAATACAAGGAAGGAGCAGATGGAGAGAAGAAGGGGTCTGCAGAAACTGAAATCAGGCTTCTGGTCCACTGATACCCTTGAGATTTATTCCTGAAAATTGCATTGATTCCTTCAGAGCTTTTGGATAAACCACCTAAGCCCTCAATAACATTAGAGCAATATATGCTAATGCTTTGTGGCAATCTTAAGGTGATGTCGTGAAGTATGAGTACTTAATGCATGCAATGTTAAAAACTATTTTCACATAAGCATGACTTCTGAATTATTTAAGCAATTATTTAAATGACTTTGACAAATGTACACAAGCTCTCTCAATGAATAAAGAAGTAAACCAATAATGGCAGGGTATCCTGTGCAAATTGACTCATGTCTGCCTGAATATACAGGTAAGGCAAAATCCTCCTTGAGTGAACATACGTGTTGCTCGGTGGCTCCAGAGAAAATGTTACCCTGGGTACAGATAGGGATTGAGAAAAGTAGCTGAATGGATTATAGACAGTCATGGCTACACATGACAAACAAGGCCAACGTCTTTGATAAAACTTTAGTTTTACTCCTTATGAGCCTTAGAGTATAATTTTATCACCTGGCTCAAAAATGTCACTGTCTGTGCACTAGAAATTCTCCCTAAAAATGTTAAAACCAGGTTTTGCTCTTGAACATTGTTATAAATGGCAGACATGACATTGTGGATTCGGCCAATTTCCCCTCACCCCGTAACATCCTTCTTTAACCTAAATATTTCTCTTTTTTGCTTTCTCTGCCAACCCTGTGCCTCCATACTTCTTGTAGTCTCCTTTCTGCCCACCATGGTTCCACCTGAAGCCATTTATTGCCGTTTCCCCGCTGTGGTCTCCACTGCCGGTGCTCCCGTCTCCTCCCTGACACAAGCCACGGCTGGTTGTTTCCATGGAGTGTTTCCCAGTGAGCTCATCAAAGCAGATGAAACAGCTGGGTACCAAATCATTAATTAATGCCCCACTGAATCCGCATGGATCCAAATATGCAAAACTGATGCTCTTATTTCAAAATCAATTTTAATCAAACCCCATCCCTCCCACCTCTGAACAACTACAGCTCCTGCACCAGGGTGAAGTGACTGAATCTCACACAACTCCATTTGGAGGCTGAGAAACATGAAATACTGTGAGAGGTTTCATACTCTGAAAAAGAGATTCACCTTTGAAGGTTCACCATTTCTGAACTATACATATGACAGTACAAATAAAGAATCCAAAGACCCTAGCAGCCCAATGCCATTACGCAAAAATGACCGTAACTAACCTAACTGAAGCCAGAAAGAGGAGAAATAAGATAAGGTTCACAAAGAACCTCTGGTCCTTGCTTTTGGAGGAAGACCATGTCACCAATGGGCTCAACTTGGATTGTATGTTGTAGGTATGAAACTTAATGCTCTTTTACACCTGGAAAGTCCTGAATCTACTTCTTAATTCTAAACAAGATACCAGCTGATTTAGAAGTTAGGTATTATATTTTCAAAAAAACGAAAGACAAGATCTGCTATTGGATATCTTTCTCCAATCAAGATTCTTGGAAAACTTCAGCTTTAATGCCAGTTTTAAAACACTTTACTAGGGTTGGGAAACTACCATAAGGCTTGATTTACTATTAGGTAGTGTCTGAATTATTCCAGGTTTATTTAGTTCTCTGTTTAATATTCCATAAATTTTAAGGAGTACTTTACAATGAAATCTCTTTTTCCTCATAAGTCTTTCATTCTACTACACAAAAAGAAGAAGAGGAAGCATTTTGCTCAGACCCCATAGGTATGTTTAGGAGTTCATCAATCCAAAATTTTTAAATACCATGTAAACACTTTCCATCATATGAAGCAATATAAATGCAAATAGTGGGTTTAAATAACAGCATGAAAAGCTGTCTCTGTAGCTAGCCTTGCATTATTTTACATCAAAATTACTATTCAAGTACATTATCACACAAAATAGATGTCCCCTTAAAATTAGAATAAAATGGAAGTTATTCTTCGTGGAAACTCTCATCTAGACTCCAGCTACCCGATTCTCACCTGATCTGCCCTGGTGCAAGCACCTATGTTTTTGCAAGGGGTAGACTACCCGGTAGCAGTTTTCATCTTTACTTATGTATAAATGGCTTTCCAACATGTGGAACAGTACACGATCAGGCCCTAAGTGTTATCTGAGCTTAAAGAAAATTCACTGACCACATTATGCCTTTGATATTTTAAAAATAATTTAAAACCACA